GGAGATTCAATGAAGAAGATATGGACTTCATGAAGTCGACCACGTTCATCTTCGTCCCAAAATAAGTCAATACAACTTTGATATCGAAAAGTAGTTGGCATACAGTCTTGTTCGCTGCGGATGATGGGGCGTGTCAGTGCGGTCGAGTTTGGCGCGCCGCCAGGCCGTCCTCCACTAGTTGTTGAACTGGGCAAGCAACAACAACTTGTGGAGAACGACTGATAGGAACGATACGATAATCTTTTCGCTTGTCGTAAAGGAAAAAAGGGCTAGCGCCGCGCCAGAACCGTCCTTCTAGACACGCCCCATCATACGCACTGAACAAGACGGTGTAGCGTGCAAAAGCTCACATGCTGGTGCTACACTCAAGAAGCCAAATGATAAAATTTTTAACAAAAGCCAGCTACGAAAGGAAACTGAGCGCAGTTCAGGAAATCTCAGGCGCGACATCGTTTGCGAACCCACGAACGCTACGATTGCTTTCACGCCACCCGTTATTTCGAGCCAACTAGCTAGGAATACGAGCTGGATCGAGAGCAATGTCGCGTCTTGGAGCCGCATCCATGCGCCCTTGTAACCGACGGGTGACTCTTGTCGAGTGTAAGCGAAGCTCATGTCACTGCATAGCTTGATAGGAATTTACGAGTCCCCAGAGCAGGCATCGGCAGTGATCGATAGGAGCCAGCAAAATGCCCCCACCAAGCCGAATTGCGCCTCCGTTTTCTCCGTAACTGAACAACTCGACTTCCACCACTACTACGACAAAACTACATCAACCTAAGAGTTTTTCGATTACTATTTTCGGGGGGCAAAAAATGCAGCTGCAAAGTTTCACCACGTGCATAACCCGTTATGCCAGCTAGGTTTGGGAATCGAAGTGCGAAGCAGTACTTGCAAAGAAAACAAAGTCAGAATAAACAAGACTGCTCTACTAACCTCTCAGAACCGTCCTTTCCTGTGATCTTTAGCAATGGGTTTTTCATTGTTGTATTTCGTCCTCCTAGTGAAGTGTAGCCCATATCGTACAGTGGACAATATGGTATGCACAGCTCTCGCAGAGTCATCCACACATCGTTGTAGGACCATGACAGAACAGGGCAAACACGCAGGACTCTCGGCCAGTCTGGATCTGTCCACTCGACTGGAGACCTATAAAAAGTCCCATGCTATTCTATTTTCCGGATCTTGCGAACATGTGAAGAGCAAATAAAAAGTTTCTTGTCAAGCCTAAGTTGTGGGATTTTCTCATAGGTTGATGGCAGGTCTGCAACCGCAGAGGGTGCGTCAGCTTTGCCTCCGTTTCTTAAAGACACATGGCACGATCACACATAGTTTGGGTGTGCGTGACTATCAGCCCGTCAGCTGTCAAAGCGTAGCGGTTTCCCCGTCCTAACATGAGCAGGAATGAAGATAGACCGTGAAACACGCTTATTCGTCC